ATCGGCAGGCGGACTCTCAACCACTGTGCCACCAGGGAAGCCCAAATACGGACATTTTTGTGTGGGAAAGGGAAAGGTTTGAGAACAAAGATATTCACTCCATTTAACAGGGATCCACCCGGCCTCCAGCCTGGAGGACGCCCACCTCCCCCCGACCCCAACTGTGTTCTCCAACTTCTAAGCACAGGCTGTTTGTTTTTTTAATTGAACTATCATGTAAAACATCAATCGTTTAATTCCTGAATTTCAGGGAAATATCCTTTGTTTCTGGAGACTCCTTGGTTTCAGCATGTGGGGTCGTTCCCTTGAATCAGCTTCCTTAAGAATATCAAGCGGGCTTCCCTGGTGGCGCAGTGGTTGAGAGTCCGCCTGCCGATGCAGGGGACATGGGTTTGTGCCCGGATCCGGGAAGATCCCACATGCCGCGGAGCGGCTGGGCCCGTGAGCCATGACCGCTGAGCCTGCGCGTCCGGAGCCTGTGCTCCGCAACGGGAGAGGCCACAACAGTGAGAGGCCCGCGTACCGCAAAAAAAAAAAAAAAAAAAAAGAGAATATCAAGCAATGCTCACCTGGCCTTGTCCTCTGTGCGGGTTTTCTCCTTGACTCAGCAGCAGTTAGTTAACCCAGAATTTTACCCCCCAATGCACCAATTTGGGAGATGTATTTAAGTGATAGTTTCAGAATTCCTCCTGAGAGTTAACAGTTTGTAAACACACTTTTAGCGAATTTTTAAAATTATTCTTTTATTTTTTCGGCTACACCATGCGGCATGTGGGATCTTAGGTCCCCCCGACCAGGCATCGAACCCGACCCCCCTGCAGTGGAAGCACAGAGTCTTAACCACTGGACCGCCAGGAAGTTGCATTAGCTAATTTTAGAAACGTATCAAGTGTTTTGTGCTCATAGGGAGTATTTACAAATATATATATATATAAATCTAAGCCTGTTTGTAAACTTCCCATAATAATTTGTTGCCTCTAACCAGTAGCACAGGGCCGTGAATTCTCACTCATCCCCTAGATAGTTCCTGCCTGAAGGTCAGGGGCCAGGTCTCATACATGTCTCATGTTTTGTATTTCTACAGCCTTGGTTCACTGCTGTCCCTGTTTTGTTGAATTGAATGGATTTTAGTAAAGGAGTTCACAGGTTTGTTTAGTCTATTTGTTGCTCGACAGCTCTAATAGAATGTCATTCCCCAGCAGAACTAAGACATGTTTCCGGGTAATGCGTTCCTCATAGCTGGGTAGAAGGGAGAGGAGCTCACCAGATCCTTACTGATAGGCAGCAGGAGGAAAGAACAAGAGTACTGGGAGCCTCTGTAAGCAAACCGTTCTGAAGACTCATCCCTGCTCACTTGTTGATATTTTAGCAGATACACCGCACCAGATGTATATACTAGGAACTACCCACGTATGAACGTTGAACTGGGCTTCCTTGGCCCAAACTCAACTGGCAATACAGAAAAAGTCTTCTTACACCATCCTCCACCTTAAAAGCAAAGATTGGGGCTTCCCTGGTGGCGCAGTGGTTGAGAGTCTGCCTGCCCATGCAGGGGACACAGGTTCGTGGCCCGGTCTGGGAAGATCCCACATGCCGCGGAGCGGCTGGGCCCGTGAGCCATGGCCACTGAGCCTGCGCGTCCGGAGCCTGTGCTCCACAGCGGGAGAGGCCACAACAGTGACAGGCCCGCATACCGCAAAAAAAAAAAAAAAAAGCGAAGATTTATTTTGTGTCTAATCTCCGGGAGCTTGTAGTTTTCCATGCGGCTGGATATAAGGGTCATTGCTAGGTCTACCTCCACTCCCCCATCTTTCCCACTATCTACTATCATATGAGCTAGAGATTCTCACCTTTAGATTTTGTTTTATATAGAACTCTAGTGATGAAGGAGGCTGAAGAGGTCATTGACTTTCTTTGTCCAACACTGCAGCCACTAGCCACATGTGGCTATCTAAATTGAAACTAATTAAAGTTAAATAAGAAATTTTAAAAGATGGTTTCTCACTGGCACTAGCCATATTTCAAGGGCTTAATGGCCACTTGTGGCTAGTGGCTACCATATTTAAAGCACAGAAGTAGAACATTTCCATTATCACAGAATTTCTATCAGATAGTGCTGGTAGACAAAAGCACTGATTTTAAAAACAGAGGAGAGATTAAATGCTTCACTGAAGGGCCTTGGCAGAACTATGAATGGAACCCATTTTTCCATACTTGAAAGCTATTCTTCTCTTCACTACACTGGAGGAGGTGTCATTTAAACTACCCAGGGAAGGAGTTTCTCAGTGGCATGTTAATACACATCATCACAAGTTAACAGATAGGACCATCTAGTCCTCCCTGGAAGAAGCCAGGTCAGGCAGTGCAGAGAGCCAGGAAGAATGAATCACAGGAGATGAGGGCCCATCATGACTCAGGGCATGGGTCAGGCAAAGCCAGAGGCAGGGCGTGTGTCATCACATCTGTATTTCCCCGCCTGGACCAGAGTTGGGACTCCATTGTGCCAAAGGAAACAAGAGGAGCCAGGGGTGGCATGAGTGGTTGGGTATTAAGCAAAAGGACAGCTAGGGAAGACTGGAGAACTCTAACCAAGATCTTCAATAAGAAGAGAGTGTCGCTGTGCCAGCTTTTCACTCTGTCTTGTCTTGGCCCTCCAGATTTATGCTCTGCTTGCTGGGATGTACAACACCATTCCGGAGTTGTTAAACTTTGCCTTAGTTCATACCCTAGGAAACTTGGTAATGAATTTCAACCCATTGTGAAAACATAGACAAGGTATAGGTTAAAAGTTTAGTTTATTGTTTTCAGTAGCTGTAGAGCTGAGCCATAGAAGGAGTGCAGGATGGGAATTCAGAAGACCTGGGTCTGTTCTCCAGCACTCTTTGATCCTGGGTACCTCACTTAACCTCAGTACCCTCATCTGTGAAATGGGACAACAGTAAGGATTTCTTGTCAGGATTGTTGAGGAGATCTAGTGAGGTAATATTCAAGACAATTCTGTGCAAAGCAGAGGGCTCTGTACAACTGTGGATTAGTTATTACCTTTATTATTGTTCCCTCATTTGGCACCTCTTTCACGCAATTATGGCGCTCAATTCTAGGTGGCCACATTACCTTAGGTTTACCAGATGTATGTGTTTTTCCCCCAAGATGTATTGTGTTTAAACAATCGATGGATCTACCTAATATCCTTATTTGAAGATGAGGTAGTCAGCCTATGTGGTTTTGTGAGCCAGCAAAGAATAGTTTAATGGTTCAATCAGCTCCTTGAGGAGCTACACGGTGCTTGAGATATGCCAAATAAGCAGCATGCAACCTCTGTGGGGAGAAGAGAAGTCAGCCTACTTCGTGTGAAGACACAGCTTCCTGCAGAGCCAGATGTAGTTCGCATTTTCCTCTTGCTTTTTCCCAATAGCAGTGCTCAGGGGGGATAAACTTTACTTAACCTAATTAATTTTAATCACAGCTTTCAAATCTCATACTGTGAAAAGAATTACAAATTGGAATACATTAATAGAAGCCATAGTTTATGCTGTAAGCTAATCATGAAATGTGCATTTACATTTTCTCTATGAGTTTGCAATTACCATTAAAATAAAATTCCGTTATGTCCTTTTAAATTACCAAAATGTGAAGAACAGATTGAGTCAGGCCCATTTTTGTGCTAAATTACTAGAATAATGTCTAAATTTCCAAGAATTAGACAGCTTCCTCCATTTGAGTTGCAGCGAGGAATGATTTCCAGTCATCTGCTCCAAGCTATTTCCATTTTTAAATAATAATCTTTTAAACTAATTGTGCAGATGTCTCACCTGCTTTAACAAGCAGTGCTTTGAGTTTAGTACAGAAGAAAAAAAATATATATATATATGTGTGTGTGTGTGTGTGTATTTATAGCTGTATATATACACATATATATGTCTGTATACATACATACATATGTCTATATACATATTAGGTGTATTTAGATCTATACATAAGATCTATCTATAAGTTTGTTTTTAGGTTCCATGTAGACTTTTATGGATACATGTATGTTAGTAAATGCTCTCTTGCTCCTCAAAGGATCGAGGCAGTTTAGAAGAAACAGAGAGGCTATTAGAACAATAATAACATTAATAAACAATTCATTCCCAAATTAGAATAGAATGGCAAGACATCGTCAGGGTAATATCACGGGTTCTCTGTGTGTAGGGCTCGGCAGTCTTTACCTCCTTCTACTCACTGCATCTCCTTTGGTCCTGAGGCAGGTAGCACAGGTGCAGTCGTCTCCATTTCGAGGGCAAAGAGAAAGAGAGAGTGTCAATGAGGAGGACAGTGGGTCCTTCAGCTCCAGTCTGAGGCTCTTTCTATAGGAAGGCTCCTGGCATTTAGAAATACAATTTTTGAACTGTGATAGTCCAACGAGGAGGAAGCAGTGGGCATAAGCAGTGACCACGTGCAAACTGCATCCTGATATCTGAATATTAGTGACTACAAAACGTTGGGGGATGAATGGCCCTCCCTCATACAGCATGAAGCTTCAGCTGGTTTGTTTAGTTACCTGGCTGGACTCCTTTAGACTTTGGTTTGCTGGGAATATTTCATATCTAATTATGCCTGAGAATGTTCCTAGTATATCGCTGGCTGGCTCTGCAGCAATGCACAGAAACAGCGCCCCATAACAGCAATAATAATAATAACTGCAGCTCCCATTACTGATCACTATGCTCAGGACAATTTGTCGGATGACAGTCCTTCCCATTTAGTGCTCTGTCTTCCTTCCTCTCAGGTACATATTCCATTTCTGCCAAGATTTCTATCCAAGACGGCTTTAAGATGCCCACTAACCAGTTTGTCTACATCTGCACATGCCAAGACCATGAGGGCCGTGTTGGACCCCTGGCTGGAGGCAGATCTGCTTCAGGACAAGGAGGGCTGGGCCTTTGTCCAAGGGTGGTCCAGCTCCAGATACCAGGTCTTCTTCAGGTCTCCTGACCTGCTTCCTCCTGGCCTGACACTCATGGCTGACATCACTTGCTTTTGGATTCAGACATCGAAAGACCCTAGCCTAGGGCCCCTTAGGCCCAGGCACAGGGCCTGGATCTCGTCCATCGTTAAAGCAGTAGTGTGTGGTCCCTGGAAGACCTGGGCTTTCAGATCCTGCAGAGCTGGGTGTGAGCTGTGGCTCCACTGTGTGCCTGCTGGGGGGTCGGGTGATTCACCGAACTGCTCTGCACTTCAAGTACCTCATCTGTGAGCAGGGATTTACGGCCTGCTTTGCAAGGGCTTTGGGTGAAGATGAATGTGACATCTGTGTAAAACATGAAGACAGTCCTTGGCACATGGTCAGTGTTCATTGCCCTGACACTGAGGCTCTGCCTGGGCCCTCGTCTGAGCTCCTGCTTCCTTTTCTTGTGGCCCTGGTGTCTCACTTAATTCCTGTCACAGGAGCACTCTGGGCCTATTTTCTGAGCAAGTGCCAGCCCCATCCCACCATTTCTGCCTCCTTCCTCCCCACTTCCGCTCTTCAATTCTAGGTCTGTGGTCTCTCAGACCAGAGGGCCTGGACTCCTGCTGGATGGGGCCCTGTGCCCGGTTGCAGGGAGGATCTGAACACGGTCCTCTGGAGGTCTCTGCGCCGAGCTGAGGGCAGTGAATCCCCTGTGGCAGGTCTGGATTGGTAGGCCATCGGGCAACAAGTGCATTTGATCTCGCTACTCAAAGTGTGCTCCGTGGGCCAGCAGCACTCGCATCACCTGGGAGCTGGATGGAAATGCAGAATCCAGGCCACTGAGTCAGAAACTGCATGTTGACAAGAACTCCGGTGATTCACGTGGACATCAGGGCTCGAGCAGCCCTGGATCGTGCCTCCGCGTCACCTCTACAGGAGAACTCGGGTCCTTCTTTCCAGGGTCAGCGCTGGTGTCTGCAGAGCCTCCAAAACGTGTGTGTTCAAAACATGCATTAAAGTCCAATTTAATTGAATATTCCACGTAGGAGTGTTTTATTCTTCTTTCTAGGTTGTCTAAAGCAAATTTTTGAATCTCTTTCCTGGAGACCCACAGCAAATATAGGCTGTTGCCAGCTTGTTTGAGGTTAACTTGCCTGTCCCCCGCCATGCAGTAGAGTCTCCTGATGATACCTACTCCAGCCCTTTCCTATTCTGGAAACACAATCACACACACACAAACACAGGGATGCACACATACATGGATGCATACATATACACATACATGGACATGCATCAGATACGTACGTGCGCATACACCAGAGGCCATGCCATTTCCCACCCCTGGACCTGTGGTCTCTTCTGCCTGGGATGTCCTTCATGCCCTGTTTTGATTAAGTTTTAGTCACTTTAAGTTTCATTTAAAGTGTCAGCTCAGCCAGGGCCACCACTTTGCTCCCACAAGACCCTACAGAAGATGGCTGTGCGGTGGTGTTTCTACTGTCATCCCATTGCATTACAATGTTTTGTTTGTGGCTTGATGAGGTCCTGGAAACACTGAACCCAGCGAGGGCAAGGGCTGAGTTGTATTTATTCATCTTTGTATCTGCAACACTCAGCACAATGTCAGGCACGTTGCAGATGCCCCGAGAATGCTTATTGAATAAATGAAGTGGAAAAAAGCTGAGCTTGTTCTGGTGGCTTGGTGTTTTCTCCTTTGAAGTTTAATCAGAATGAAATAAAATTACTGCAGACTCCAAGCGTTTGGGGAAAGTTCTGTCAAACCTTGCAACCCAAGTGGAACAAACAGATCAAAGGGAAATTAGATGGCAATTTGTTTAAAAAAAATTTCTGCGGCGCCATTTTAATTAGAGAACATTCTTCTCATTAAAATTAGGAACTCCCAGGGAAATACTTGGGATGTCCCTCCTCACGTATTTCACCAGCTATTACAGGACGCACTGAGCAGCTTTGTGAGGGAAAGCTCCGAGGATGCAGCAATAAGACACTCAGCACTTACACAGCTCTCTACACTTTCCACAATTAAGCCTTTCACCCCCGCTTGCTCTGTGGAGGAGAAGGCCAGCGTTGTGGACTGGATTTGATGGCTGAAGAGGCTCTGAGCATAAATGACGTGCTCAAGGCCACACAACTGGACCATCACAAGCAGAGCCCAGAGTTTTGCATTCTCTTCCCATGCCAAGCAGTTTTTTCCCCCAGCCTCAGAGTATAATCCCTTTTGACAAATAATGTACATCAAACCCAAAGGCTCTTCATAAGGAGACTGGATCAGTGTTTCTCAGAATTTGGAATGTCACAGATCAGTCAGATGATTGAAACTAAGTTTAGATTTGCCAACTTTTTACTTTGCTAATTAGGAATGCTAAGAAAATCTATGTTCAGAATTATGTTATAAAATATTGACATTTTTATTTATTTATTCCTTTATTTTGGCTGTGTGGCTTGTGAGATCTTAGTTCCCTGACCAGGGATTGAACCTGGGCCACGGCAGTGAAAATGCCAAGTCCTAACCACTGGACCACCAGGGAATTCCCAATATTGACATTTTTAAAAGAGGAATGATCTCTGAATAAAGCCCAGCTTTTAAAAATTGAATCCATTTAGCTTCATGAAAAACTCACCCCACTGTTGTTATTTTTCTCATTTCACAGCAGGCCAATGAAAACCAGCGATAGTTTGGAGTTGAGTTTGGGAGACACAGGCTCTGCCCAACTTTACTTGCTAGATCCACGTATTTTGTTGAAACCCCAAAGCCAAGCCTTTGTAGCAGAAAACAGTGAAAGGTCACCAGCTGGTATTCCACACCGAGGTCAGTCACCTGCTCCTTACACAAGCGTGGCGGAAGGCACAGCTTACTCATGACATGACTTTTCCGGAGTTAGTGTGTTATGTCTCTGCTTTATGCTCCTTAGAAAGAAGATGGAAGACTTGAAGCCTTGATGTGATTTTCCCTAGTAATTGTCAGTAGGATTAGGCTAAGCAAGTTCCTGCCTGAAGACCTTATCCCGTGGTGTACCCTACTCTTATTTTTGCTTTGTCCACACACGAAAAATAAAGAAGATAACTTAATGTTGAGATGTGAATTTGGGTGCTTATGTGCTAAGGGGAAATTTTAAAAAACAAACATAAACTCTATGAACATTATGAGGAAATTATGGAATAAAAAGTCTAAAAATGATTACCATGATTGGTTGAAGGGGGGGAATTGTGAATAGATTTTTATGTTTTCCAAGTTTTGTTCCTATACTTATATTACTTTTAGAATTCAAAGTAATTTTGTCATTATAAAGAAATGAGAAAAATTGAAAAATTACATCTTTACTGACTTTTAGGGATTGTCAATGAGATATTGTAAAAGCAGGTAGAAGACAAATCAGTGTGCTATGGCAGGTTGTATTTTCCAAAGAGGGCACAATGGCATCTCCCTTCCACCAACCAACTGAGTATACCGAACGATGCAATGTGACTTTTGGGGCTACCCTGTAAAAAGCCACGTACTCTGCTCTGCTCTCTTGGAATGCTGCCCTTGGATTCAGCTGCCATGCTATGAGGAAGCTCAAAGGAGCAGCCCAGGTGGAGAGCCCACATGTGGACGTTCTGGTCAACAGCCCAAGTGAGGGTCCAACGGCAACTGCAGGACAGTCAAGTGAAGAAGCCTCCAGATGATTCTTGCTCCAGCCTTTGAGTCTTCCCGGAGGAGCCCTCAGACACCATGGAGAAGAGACAGCTGTCCCTTCTCTGCCCAAGTCAAATCCCTGATCCATAGAATCCTTAATTTGAAGCATAATTAAACGGTCGCTTTATACCATTAAGGTTTGGGGTTTGTTACATAAGGAATATGTGTGTAGCATAATTCTTTTAGCAAAAGTAAGCGATCAAGAGCAAAAACAAAATCCCTGTACATCTACATATACAAAACATCTGTGTATACAACAGAACTCCTGTATATATATATATATATATATATATATATATATATATATATAAATATATATTTATCTGAAAGTTTTTATTGTGTTAAAAGACACATAAAATTTACCTCTTTAACATGTACAGTTTTATGGCATTAAGTATATTCACATTGCTGTACAACCATCACCACTATCCGTCTCTTGATCTTTTTCCTCTTCCCAGATTGAAACTCTGTACCCATTTAACACTAGCTTCCCACTCTCACCTCCCCTCAGCCCCAGGCAACCACCCTTCTACCCTCTTTCTCTGTGACTTTGACTACCCTAGGTACCTCATATAAGTGGAATCATACAGTATTATGGCTGCCTTAGATCACTTAGCATAATGTCTTATAGGTTCAACCATACTGTAGCATGGGTCAGAATTTTCTTCCTTTTCAAGGCTGAATAATATTCCATTGTACGTATATACCACATTTTGTTTATCCATTCACCCATCAATGGACATTTGGGTTGCTTCCTCTCTTTAGCTATTGTAAATAGTGTTGCTATGAACATGGGTATGCAAACAGCTGTTCAAGTCTCTGTTTCCAATTCTTTGGGGTATATACTCAGAAATGGAATTGTTGGATCATGTGGTAATTCTGTTTAATTTTTTGAGGAAGTATCACACTATTTTCCATAGTGGCTAAACCATCAGTGTATAAAGTTTCCAGTTTCTCTACATCTTCAACAATACTTCTTTTCTATTTTTTTTCTTTTTTTAAAAATAGCTCTCCTAGTGGGTGTGAAGTGGCATCTCATTGTGATATCTTTGATTTACATTTCCCTAATGGTTAGTGATGTTAAGCATCGTTTAATGTGCTTATTGGTCATTTGTGTTTCTTTTTTGGAGAAATAGCTATTTAAGTCCTTTGTCCAATTTTTAAATTAGGTTTTTTGTATATATTCTTTTAAATGTATGTATACACACACACACACACACACACACACACACATATAAACAGGGAGGAGGCAGAGAAAAGCAGCCAATGGCGTGTTACCTCAGACGGTATGTGTTGGTGATAGAAGACCAGGAAAAGCGAGTCCTCTTTGCCTTTTATGTCAGGTACTGGAAGGTTTCACTTGTCACCAGCATGTGCCACTAATTGAATAAAGAAAAAAAATTAAAGGAACTACCAATAAAATGTCATTTTGCTTAAGTGTCTCAAAATATCTGACGAGGTTTTTTCAATAGCACAGCCAAGAAAAAAAAATTGTCTTGTGCTGACCCTCCAAGCTTATTTCATTGGTAAGATTTTAATGAGAAGAAAACTTCCCTTCATTGTTCTAGTCGCAGATGCTTGGCCTGCGTTTTCCCACCTCCCTCCACCCTCCTCCCTTCTGGAACAAGCTCAGACCAGGAGAGGAGCCTGTCTCTCTTTAAAGAGACTGTTTGTTTCCATGGTAACTTGCCTTCTTCATCTTCAGAGGTGTAAACTGGGAAATTCTATTAAAGGCTTTATCCAGGCAGTTGCTTTTGAAATGGTGTCTGATATTAGATGTTTGCCTCATTCACCTTTGCTGCCCAGTAATCTTTTGAATTTGGTGATTCTAGCAAATGGAGGAAGTAAAATGAAACAATATGAAGCTGATTATAATCGGTCTGACTGGCCCCGCTGTGCACACTCGTCAGGTACTGTCATGGGCTGTCTTATGGAGCACCCTGGGAGTCTGTGATTTTTTGTGGCCCAGGCCCACCTCTGCACTGGTCTCTGGCAGCGGAGACCAGCATGCAAGCAGATCTGCGTGGAGAGGCCGGTGAGGTCAGCTGGAGAAGAGAGAGAAACTAGCTCTGTTGTCAAAAATGACTTTGATTGTTAATGGATTTCAAGTCTTATCGTGCACGTGGAGTTCATTATACCCCTGCTGTGAAAGCAACTGTAGTTCAAACAGGTGCAAATAAAGCAAGTAACCAAATTACCCGAGGCTGATGATTTAAGATTTTCCAGAACTTATACTTGTAAAGCTTCATGTATTGACTGGGAATAGAAGGTGTTGGGGGTTTTATTGACCAGTGTGATTGACAGGCATGAAATCTATATGGTTTTTAATCTCTGGATACTCAAATAAGTGACATTTTAATCAGTTTATAAACATAGAAAATACCTTGAAAGCTCTTTTCCTACTCAGGAAATTCAGCTATTTTATTCCTTTTGAAAGCAACTTCATTTGATTAGAGCAAAAAATAACATTCTATTGGTTTTCCTGTTTTTTGTGTTTTTAAAGCTAATTGCTGATTAATAGCTTACCTCCAACTTTTGAACACATTTGCTAGATAAAATATTAATATTTAAAAATATTTAGATTGGGATGATGAAAAAGTTTTGGAGATGGATAGTGGTGAGGTTGTATAATACTGTGAATGGACTTAATGCTACTGAACGGTACACTTAAAAATGGTTACAATGGTAAACTTTATGTATGTTTTACCACAATGAAAATAATATTTAAAATTTTCCAATTGGAAAATATGAAAGTTTCTGCAGTTGCTAAAGAAAAGCCCATTAAGCAAAACATAATTATATGGGAGTCTCAGGTTCCTAGCTTCCCCACACACACTTTTTTGAAGTATAATTTAAAAATTAGGGGCTTCCCTGGTGGTGCAGTGATTGAGAGTCCGCCTGCCGATGCAGGTGACACGGGTTTGTGCCCCAGTCCGGGAAGATCCCACATGCCGTGGAGCGGCTGGGCCCGTGAGCCAAGGCCGCTGAGCCTGCGTGTCTGGAGCCTGTGCTCCGTAACGGGAGAGGCCACAACAGTGAGAGGCCCACGTACCGGAAAAAAAAAAAATTAAAATCATATAAAAGTTGTAAGGTATACAACTTGATGTTTTGCTATATGTATATATTGTGAAAAGATCATTACAATAAAGCCAGTTAACATATTCATCTCCTTGCACAGTTACTATTTTCTTTCTCTCCTTTACTATTTTTTTTTTTTGTGGTGAGAACCCTTAAGATCTACCCTCTTAGTGAATTTCAAGTATGCAATACAATATTATTTTTAGTCACCATGCTATACATTACGTCCCCATAACTTAAACATCTTATACCTGAAAGTTTGTATCCTTTGACCAACATCTCCCCATTCCCCTCCCAGCCCACCCCAAGGCCCTGGCAACCACCATCCTACTCTCTGCTCCTATGAGTTTGACTATTTTAGATCCCATATATAAGAAAATATTTGTATTGTAGTATTTGTCTGTGTCTGGCTTATTTTGCTTAGCATAATGTCCTTCGGGTTCATCCATGTTGTTGCAATTGGCAGAATTTCCTTCTTTATTCAAGGCTGAATAATATTCCATCTCTCTCTCTCTCTCACACACACACACACACACACACACACACACATTTATCCATTCATCTATGGGTGGACACTTAGGGTGATTCCATGTTTTGAGTACTGTGAATAATGCTGCCATGAACATGGGTATGCAAATACCTTTTTGAGATTCAGGCTGCTAGCTTTCTGTGAAGCTTTCCTTTATCTTTAAACTTAGATTCCTGAGAAAATCCCAAATTTCACTCTCTTTCATCATATTCAGTTTTGAGTCATTTTGAATGTTTTTCTTTTCCCAGAAGAGATAATAAAAGTACTATGTTTGGTAGCCCTTATCTCTAGAGACACTGTTTTCTTCCTTCCCAATTCTTGCCCTGGAGGAATTTGCTGTCTCACAAGGGTCATCAAAGAACACAAACCATCCCAGAGTTGTAAGGGATCTCTGAGGTCAATGCATCTGTGGTCCTACCAGGGCAGGCTTCCCACTCCTGTGTCTTGGGCAGGTGGACATTCAATGTTGGCTTGATTACTTCCAGTGATGAGTGACTCTCGACCTCACAGGCTGCCCATTCCACCCTTGTCAGTCTCACTACACATTCAGTCAACAGTGTGCCCTCACCCTGTGGCGGGCACTGGGGATACCAAAGGGAACAACATGGATGTGGTCCTGCTCTCACAGAGCTTATATTAGAGCATTGTTCTGTCTTTTAGGCTGCAATCTTGTCCCCTTACCTTGGACCCATTTTTTCTGATTACGTCTGCAGAGTCCTAAAGAGTGCACGGCATCATTTAGTGAGTGATTGCCATCGGCAGCCTAGAGGAGGTGAGGATTTGTAGGCATGTAAAGTGTCTCAGATCTTAATGAAGTGAGTTAAGCCAGGGGCAGTCACAATACAATCTTACTCTTGCTGCTTCCTGGGAATGGACTGCAGGGGAACGGGAGCGGAGGAGGGATGCAGGAAGGATGCAACCACAGCAGCTCAAGTGAGGGATGACAGTGACTTGGACTAAGGCTCCCTGGGGCTGTCAATTTGGTCCACATCCCTCCAGGGACACACGGGCGCATCATGACCTGGTCACTTCCTGGTTCCTCAGGCTCGCCTCTCACCCTGCCTCTGCTCCAGCCATAAGGAAGGGCCCTCAGTACTTCTGAGTCCAAAAGGTACCACAATCTCTTCCGCTTCAGGCCTTTGAACATCTTACTCCTACTTCTGGATCATTTCTGTTATATTTGCCTGGCAACCATCAGCATTCAGCTAAGGCATCACTTCTTCCCAGATGCTGTCCAGTTCCCAGGTTACCCACAGGGCCCCCTTTGGAGCTCCCTCTAGCACCCTGACCTCATACCATGATGGCTCACATCACAATAGGTGGTCCTTGCCCGTTGTACCACTTTTTTTTCCATTAACTTGCGATCCCCTTGAGGCAGGCACGCCTTTGTCCTGGTGTCCCCAGTGCCATGCCTGGGGGTGGATGCAGGAATGCTCTCAAGAGCCGTGAGTCAGGACTCTAGGTGGCTTTCCTCGAGCTTTCCCTAGAGTTCTCAGTTAACATTTCTCTTTTTCCTGAATATGTTCATTCCCACCCGCCCACAGATACTGTCCCTTGTCTTCACTTTTCAGAATCTCCAACCTTATCAAATACTAATCACATTTCAGTGCTCCAGACTTCTCGATGGTGAACAAGCCTCTCACCATTGCTTTTGTTCAGAAAGAGCACAAAATGGAAAATGTTGACATACTTTTCTAGGATAGTTTCCTTCTTTTTTTTTTTTTGCAGTACGTGGGCCTCTCACTGCTGTGGCCTCTCCCGTTGCGGAGCACAGGCTCCGGACGTGCAGGCTCAGCGGCCATGGCTCACGGGCCCAGCCGCTCCGCGGCATGTGGGATCTTCCCGGACCGGGGCACGAACCCGTGTCCCCTGCATCGGCAGGCGGACTCTCAACCACTGCGCCACCAGGGAAGCCCTCCTTCCTTTTTAAATAACATTTCTAGTTCTTTAATCAGAAATTATCAGTTTAGAACTGATTTTAATAAAGACATCATAGTTCTAATGGGCATCTAATGGTCACATTGCAAGTGCTTGTCTAGTTTTTACTCTCTTGAGGATCTGATTTTTAAAATATATTCATTTCATTGTTACTCTGGACCTCATATCTTTTTTCAAAACATTGGCCTTTGTCTCCCTGAGTGATGTTCAGACTTCAGCATTATGTTAAGAGCCCAAGCTGCCTGCCACTGAACCCCACCTTGGCCACGCCCTAGCTGGGTCACCTCAGGAAAAAGATCCACCTCTCCGGGCCTTCTGTCCTCCTCGGGTGTGAACTGGGGATAACAGTGCCTACCTCAGGAAGTTTGTGAACACTGGGCAGGTTACTACTTGTAACACACTCAGGACGGTGGCTGGCATTTGCAGTGGCAACAAATACCTTCCGAAGAAGGGGAAAGAGAACAGGAGGAGCTGTGTGTGCTGGGGCAGCCGGGACCTCCCCTCTGCACAGGGCCACGGGCAGAATAAGGACAGGCCAGCCGATGTCCGACACGGGAAAACGGTGCTCCACATGGGGAGTGGGCTCTGGCAACACACCTGAGAGCGGAACCTATCTTTCTGAGCCACAGTAGCTTCAGGAATTCTGATCTGATTGTCCTGGTGCTTTCCCATTGATCGAACAGATAAAAATAGTTTCTTGAAGGCCTAGGCTGTTTTGAAAATATCATCACCCACTGAAAAAAAGAAAAAAAAAAAAGAACATTCCCTACATTATAGCTTTAACTTAATTTTCACAGCAGTTAAAAACTTAAAAGTTAATTAAAAACAATT